AAACTGGGGTGTGGGGGGGGGGGGGGTCCCTGACACTCTCAACTGACGGGAGCACTCCAGCCATGCCCGGGACCAATGTCCAAGTGGAGACCCGGGCACTCACAACTGCCGTGAGAACGCCGCCATGCCCGGGCCAATGTCCTAATGGGGGGGGGGGGGGGGATGGCGCTCACAACTGACGTGAGAACGCCGCCATGCCCAGGGCCAATGTCCTAATGGGGGGGGGGGGGGGGGGGGGTGATGGCGTTCACAACTGACGCGAAAACTCCAGCCATGTCCGGGACGAATGAATACATGGCATGGACAAATGAAACAACCGGCCGAAAGTAAGGAGCGAATTAGCACCAATGGTGGAGACTGTTGTCTCGTGTAATGATTCCCTCTGCACCAACACCTCGCCTGCACTTCCCGGCATCAACACAGCCATTGACAATACAAGGCCATTGCGAGATTATACATGTACATCGTGGAAGTCGGACGTTATCTTGCGGGATGAGACGTGTATATTTGTGCTTTAGTAGGCCAGTAGCTCAAACGGCCGTATCAGTCGATGAGTCGCGCGCATCGCTTCCAGAGCCGGGCTCAGGAGCGGTGTTGGGGTGCTGATAACAATTCTTAGTCACGCCTGCTGCGCGCCCCACAGTGTCTGATGCACGCACGTAAGGCTGATACCAGGGGCAGCGGTTATTTCACGGCAGTTGTTATCGACATTGAATTTTCGGAATCCTCCGGCTTTGTGCACTCGCTAGTCTGGCATCGCACCATCGTGACATACGATAGCATGCCGATAACCTCATTGCCGTAAGGTACCGAGATAACCGCATAGCCGTACAACCGGGAGGCGTTTGGGGGCCATGGTCTTGCAGGCCATGCAGAAGCCATGGTCCATGGCCATGCAGCAGACCATGGTCTTCCCTACTTATCGTGAGGCTGAACATGAACTCTATCGCAATGCGCGGAAAGCAGTCACTTCAGATGGGGATGTGATCCTCCCGGGTTTTGCGGTGTTCCTCCGCCCATGGGTGGCCATCCCTGTTCACACCAAGTGCGGCCGGTGATGGTATGGTGGTCAGTCGTCAGTACCAGGTGACGTCAGCACCATTGGTGTCGTCGGGCCTCCCTCCCCCTCCCCGCCCCCCCCCTCCCCCCCCCCGCCCACTCCAACAGCGCTGTAGCGGACGGGTGTCTGTAGCGCCATTGGCGTTGCCACGCCTCCCCTCCGCCCTCTGCCCCACTCCCACAGCGCGGTAGCGGACGGGTGTATGGATCGGATGGGGGAGGACGGCTCCAGTCGATGCCTAGCCGCCGAAAACTTTACCCAGCTGCTTCTTTCCCACGGAACTTTGCTGCCACCATAGAGTGGGATGGATCTTGTGCACGATGGCCGTTGGTACTCATTAATAAGCATATGCTGTCCAGTTTCTGTCTGTTACATATTTTCACACACTGTTTCCAGCCATATAGGCCAGTGTTGCCAAATGCGGGGATGACGTCCAGCGGCAGAGATCCAACAGCGGTGTTTACGAATCGTGCGAGACACATGTCAGGGGCTAATAGCAGACTTCTGTTGGGGTAAAAGGCCTTGACCCGTCGTTTTTGGAGATAATCGGCACCATTTTACCATCTCGAGGGATTTCAAACCAACCGCACGATGGCCTTCCGCACCTTGAACAAAAATCGATTCAAAGAGAGCACCAAACGAAGGTTTTCTCTATGCACTAAATGCGGTCCGTAAACCGTGATTCACTTGACCTGAGTAGTACGGGTGGGTCGGCTCGGAGGCGCGCCGGGTGCTGGATCCGGAGCGGTCAGCGCCCAGTGTTGGATCTTGTGCGGTCAGCGCCCGGTACTGGATCCGGCGCGGTCGGCGCCCAGTGCTGGACCTTGTGCGGTCAGCGCCCGGTACTGGATCCGGCGCGGTCGGCGCCCAGTGCTGGACCTTGTGCGGTCGGCGCCCAGTGCTGGACCTTGTGCGGTCAGCGCCCGGTGCTGGATCTTGTGCGATCAGCGCCCGCTGCTGGATCCGGCGCGGTCAGCGCCCAGTGCTGGATCCGGCGCGGTCAGCGCCCAGTGCTGGATCCGGCGCGGTCAGCGCCCGGTGCTGGATCCGGCGCGGTCAGCTCCAATTGCTGGACCTTGTGTGGTCAGCGCCCAGTGCTGGATCTTGTGTGGTCAGTGTCCGTTGCTGGATCCGGCGCGGTCAGCGCCCAGTGCTGGATCCGGCGCGGTCAGCGCCCAGTGCTGGATCTTGTGCGGTCAGCGCCCATTGCTGGACCCTGTGCGGTTAGCGCCCAGTGCTGGATCCGGCGCGGTTGTCGGCTGGACCAGTCAGCTGGTACCTCAGGCAGACGGTTATGGTAGGAAGCACTGACGTCATGCCATCCACCACCCAGGCTTTCACCCAATGAAAGGGAGCATTCCACATTTGTATGTGGTTTTGAGCTGAATAAGTCACCTTGAAAGTTATTCGATGCAGTTCACAGCCCTGCCTTCAAACGCCTAAGACCCTCCAGTTTCAGAGCGACATGCCCGCGAAGATGCACAGACGATTTCGTGCAGACTATTTCAAGGTCACCCAGGGCATCCATGACGCCCTAACAGTCTGTCATGAAATCCTGCTGACCACTGTCATGCGGCGTTGAGGTCAAGAAAACCCGGACATGGCGAGTCTTCTAATCTGGCGTTCCTCAGTTCGGCGTTCAGATATAACGATTTTGTAACGTTGTTGATCTATAATGATGTACTACTTGCTACTATATATATATATAATATATATATGTATATATATATGTACTAATAGCGTACTATAACTATACCAATAGTTCTAAGTATCGCTTATTTCGTTATTTTCTGATGTCGAGAATATGTTTCGTTCATTATCTTCCAATGATGTGAGACATTCCTTTAATGCTGGAAAAATGCACAATGGCCGTGAACAAATATATTTACTGTTCGCTTTGACAGCAATCGTTTCAAGATCTCGACAGGCTTTTTGCCCTGATCTGTTTTTTCCATCAATCGAGATCGGAGTTTGATCGTCAAGTCAAACAGTGAGACGATGTGGTTGGACGCGGACAGCGGTCTGCGGGGATCCTGTTTGTCACGGAGTGGACCACATGCCACTGCTGCCGGTTATCAGAAGGGGCTTATCGCTGCCAGATGGTGGTGTTGGGATTTCGCACCGTTCCCGATAGGCGCTATCCGCAACTTATACAGCCCCGCTTGAGTGTAGGAGCTTACAGGCTGGTATCTAGCGGTGCTTTTAGCGATCAGTTTTCCCTGAAACGCTTACAGCGGCGGGAGTGGACTTTGGGTTTGCATTTGAACAGAGTCTCCTGCGATAACTGATTCAAATTTAGCTGTGGTAATATTTCCGTTTGCTTGGTTCTTTTGCCTCCGTTTTGAAATGAAGGGCAGCCCCCGAACAACGGACCCGGGATCTTGACCTCA